AGAGAAGTAGAGTCATTTTCTCATAGACTTCTATACAACCAGAGGAGGCGCCCCCTGGTGGACATTAGAGAGAATGCAAGTTTTAAGACATGAAGCATCGGCTTCACTTGTCAGAACCGGAGGCTGATGCCTGATTAAAATACAGCCAACGCTAGCATGTGCACGGCTCCTGCATTAGTGTATTACAGTCTGTGACTCCACTGAGCTCATTGATCTTCTGTGTGATAATCCATGGACTCGGATGGATCCAGTGTGTCAGAAACAATCAGTCCTCCTGCTCCGTCTTCTGTTCCCACTGTAGGGAGATGATCTCGACAAGCAGGATCAATAAAGAGAAGGTTTCGCTGCAGCAACTGTAAGCATCAGTAAGAGTGAGGATGACCAAGGCCGAATGGAGGTGAGTTTACTTGTCTCTCTGTTGCTGCTGAGCCTCATATGCCGGCTTTAAGCTACTTCTTATTCCTCACCAGACGTCTGGTCTGTGTGTCCTCAGAGCTGTTTGATCCACAGCACAACTCGGCTGACTGTGAGCGGCCTAATAGACAAACTCCGGCTCTAACACAAACATGTTCTTTCAGTTATGTTTCGTAGTCTTCTTGTAATTACCACTGAATTTATTCTACTTCTACTTCAGAGTTTAAATAGTTGAATTAATATCAAATCAACTTTTCATGTCACACATTAGCAATTAATTGGTGAACTTAAGCCTCAACCCTTCCTACTATGAGGAGCAGTGGGCAGCTACTACTGTACAGCAGGGAGCAGTTTGGGGGTCTGGTGCCTTGCTCAGGGGAACTTCAGCAGAGCCCAGGAAGCCAACGGGCACCTCTCAAACTGTCAGTCCACACAATATATTTGGTCGGTGTTGGGACTTGAACTGGTCCCCACAGACTGAGCTTCCTAGATACAGTTTGTGTTATTATTACTAGATTACTAGATTGTATATATACATGTATGTATGTGTGTATATGTGTATATGTACATAACTACCTCTCCTCCTCCAGCACGGGCCCTCCTGGATGGTATAGGAGAGGTCGCTGAACTCCAGGTCCACGGCGGAGCGTTTGGGGAGGTGGGAGAAGCGCTGAGCTTCGGTGATGTGGTTCTCCACCTTCTTCAGGTGGGTCAACATGGACGCGTCCTGCTGCTGGACGCCTCCGTTACACACGACCACCTCCTCTACGTGGATGCTCACAGAGTCGGGTTCCAGCGCCTTGTTGTCCATACCGGCTCTGTGTCTGAGAGGAAGCGAGTCAGTCATTAGCTTCATTACCTGCTGACGTGTCTCATTTTTAAACACCTGCACCGGGGGGTTTGGTTCCTTGCTTGCATATTTAGAGGTTGTTTAATAAAAGTTCTACGTTCCTCCTGAAACAACAGAGCAGCAGGACACTGGAGCCAGTCAGCAGCTCAGCTTTATGCCAAAAAACAGAAGAGGAGGAAGAAGAGAAATATAATAATATAAAATACAACAACAGGCCTGACCATAAAAGCTGGCAGCGTACAGTAAAGCCCAGACTTCACTATAAAAAGGTGCTTTTAGGCATTTAATGAATGTACAGTCGACACATGTCGACTGTACATTCATTATTATTACATATTACCCATTATTACCTATTATTATTACACCCAAATAAAGAAAAAACAACAACTCAGCAGCCACATGGTGATTGTTTCCTTCAGTCCGGTATCGTGTATCAGACGAGCTGATAAGAGACCAACGGAGCAAAAAAGCTTTTAAATTGGTCAGTGACTCCATTTACGTGCACAAAATATTTGTCCTTATTACAAAAAAAGACAATATTCCTACTCGGCTGTTAACACGGCTACTGAAAATGAATACTAATATACTAATAATCCTGTTAACATGCAGCCATTCATACTCTGATTATTAACGTATTCGGTGGAGGTTCCTTCAACCATCTTCTTGAAAAGGTCCGCGTTGTGATATGTGTTCATATCCAAAAAGCTGTTGATATCCAGGTAAACTACATTCCCGTACAATGAAACCGCATTTTCAATTAAGTTCGGAGGGAAACGTATTTTTTCTGTTTTTGACGTATTACAAACACGTTTCTTATCAGTCAGCAGAAGCCAAACCACGATGTTTTTACTAAACCTAAGCGAGTAGTTCTGTTGCCTGAACATAACCAGGTAATTTTTATTTTGTTGCCATGTCCAATGTTTTAAAAAAAGGAGAAAATCCATTTCCCTTGAAACGTCATTGAGAATTCATACTAGTTGTATGGGAACCTAATTTAGTAGGAGACAGGTTTGACTGGCGATACTTCATTATTAGTCGAGCTTCAGTGGAAACGTATATATACGTTTCCTGGGAAAAGATAGCTGAGGTGTGATCAACAAAATCCATTTCCATTGTCCTGGCAGGACAATGGAAATATGCAACCCGCCCTGTGATCGAGGTGATTACCGATCATCGGAATAAGAGATACGTCTAATCTACTCTCTACAGCGCAGACCGCTGTTAGAAACGGTTCCCAAGTCTGAGGTGGTACAGTAATTTGTCCTTTTTTTGAGACAGAAGTCTCATTTAATCACTCATGGGGTTCTTAATCCCTTTGGGGATTAAAATCAACTTTCTTTTCCACCCTTGATCTGCCCGGAGGCGGGAGGGGCTCGGGAGCTACCGGCTTGGGAACAAATCTGCAGACTCAGGTACACTACCAAGCACCGAGCTAATGTATGGGAATCCACTGCTCCTTCGCTTGCCCTCCCACACCATACCTCCAACGCGGACACATTTCACTGACAGCCTCGGAGAGGGAAGCCAAATGGTGTCAAATAGTCCTGAGAAACGGAAAACGTAACGCCAACGTGTCACGAGTCCACCTGGATGGAACGGCACCGCTCTGGACGGAGATGGTTGGAGAGGAGAGGCCGAGAACCCGCTGACCTGAGATCATACCGCTTCAGATTATCTACTGTACCGCGGTTGCACTTCTATCTGACTCTAAGACTTGATGCCCCGAATACGGCTGGATTAAAAAGCCAATTACAGTCAATCAAAGTGGTCAGGAACAAGCAGCTAAATGGAGACATCAAAGTGATGATAGGAACTCATGCCAACTGCCTGGTTTACCTGGAATGAACTCTCATCTATAGATGTAGTCTCTCTGTGCACTCTTGTTTACAGCCATTAACAAAGCTATGAAACAAAGCACAATAAAACACACCATCACTGGGGCTTTACACACTTGCACCAACCTTTATGTTATATGTTAAAATTGAAGAAATAGTTTTGGAAAATTGTTCTCAAGCCTGTCTACCAAACATGAAACAAGAGTAGCGCTGCATAATTCATCGACATTTTATCGAAATCGCAATAAAATTGGTCTCCTGTAATATTCAAATAACAGCAGACAAAATATTTGTTAATACGTGTTTCTGTTAAAATGAGAATAGCGATATGAACATAATCATTCCTTCTAATATCGCAAATCATATCACAATTGCATTATCAGTCCAAACAATTGCAATTAGATAGTTAAAAAAAAAATGTTCAGCCCTGATTAGCTTAGCTTAGCATAAAACAGCTAGCCTGGCTCACTCCAGAGTTTAAAAATCTGAACTTCCAGCACTGTCTCGGACAGTGTTGTAGAAAATGCAGTGACTTGCACGGCTTCATAAAGAGTGAAGAGTACCGGCTTTTAACTGTGGATTTATTACTATTATTATTTACAAATGGCCACATGCTTCTTCCCCTTTTTATGGTTACAATAAATAAAAATGGCAATTTAGTAAGGAAGCGAATTTTCCTCCATTTCTAACCCTCTCTGTGATGTTACACAGGTTCTTGTATCTGTATGTGTATTTCATCTTTGCCATCAGAAGATAGCGATTTGATCGACGACTTATTGCCGCAATAAAGTAGATCTGTCACTGCCCACGGTAAGAGAAGATTCGTGCTTGAATATGAAGGGCCATTACCATTTTCATAAGGCTGACATACTGTGACTTCTTGACTTTTGATTTGATGAAGAATATTCCAGAGTTTGGTCATGACCTTTATTCACAGAAGTGACTTTATCCCTGTGTTTTGATGCATGTAAAATGTCAGCTCTGCAGAAGCTAACAGCCACTGGTGATATCCCACATTCTAGGATAGTATTTAACCGCACTGCACTCACTGGTGTAAGTATAGTGTGAGGCTGCTATGAAAGGCCTATAAAACACTCTTTCAGCAAAAGTCATACAGCTGCTTTTCAATGGCCCCAAGTTCTTCAGAGTAGAACTTCACCCTTTAACCCTTTACTTCTTGGTTGCAATATGTTTTGAATGAGGAATGTTCCCGGGTCATTCTGGGGAAACCGCAAAACTGAAGTGGCCAAAGCACAACTCTGAGTCTCAACACATGTCACTGAGAGATGATATCTACGAGTGTAACAGAAGTGGATTCTGACTCTGGGCGATAAAACTGAGATTAAATATCACTACTTGGAAGAGTATTTGGAAGTATTTTAATTGCTATTTGTATTCTTGATTTTTATCGTTTTGGTACTAGTCATTTCTGGGAAAAATACTGTAATTTTTATTCCGCCCTCCCTTTAATTTCCCCTATAAGAGCCAATGAACGATTACATCACAGATATATTAAGTATATAGTTGACGCCATGCTTTTTATTTTAAACGTATTAAATTCCTACAGTCACAAACCGTGTCATAAAGGGGGTGACCGTGGCTCACTGGGTTAAGAGGGTTGTCTGGGAACCGGAAGGTCATGTCACGTGTCGTAGTGTACCTGAGCAATACACTGAACCCCAGGCCCCCCGGGTGCCTGTCATTGGTCCCTAGCATCCCACTGCTCCCTATATACAGGGATGGGTCAAATGCAGAGACAAATTTCCCCCTTAAGGGATCAATGTAGCATAATAAATTAAAATTTAATAAATAAAAAAATTTAATAAATGAGAATGTATGATCTGTGTAGGTTGAAGTTAGAGGTAATGAGTACATGTAAATATGCTGCTGTGAGGAGTCTTGTCTAAGTACTCTATACACTGCAATAATTAATACACATGGTTTCTAATTGTTGTGTCAGTGAACAGCCTCCTAGACTAGGGACTGGCTGTCCCTAGATAACATGAGCGGGCTGAATATAAAGGATATTAAGACCCAGGGAAGTGGGTTAATAGTGCTGGTCTCCCATGACTTTGTAAGAATAAGAGCTAATTCACTGAACAGGCTTTGATAGTTGTGAAAAAAAACCTTCCGAGCTCACATACATTCCTAGTACGAGCTCCAGCACTCAGAGGCTCCATAATCACAGCAGCACTTCTTACTCACGAGACAGAAGCTGAAGTAGAGAAGGGGGAAGGGTTGATTTATCCTAATGTACAGTAGCAAACCATCTCAGCTGAGCAGTTCATAAGGGACCATGTCATAAATAAAGAGACTAAACTACTGGATCGTTACCGGGCAAATCACAGCTGATGCTTCGGGTATTAATCTTGTTAACGTTAGCCAAAAATAACTCAATTAACCAACTGAAGTAACAGTTAACGGTTATTGTGACGTAGCCTAACGTTAGCTTATAACACGATTAACGTTCATTTTAAGAGTTATATTTAAAGTGCATGATTTAATACCACAAATTAAACAGAAAGTCGACTTAAATGAAATATAACCAATGTTAAAACACTTTTCAGGTGCATTTACATCGACTTTTTACTCATGTTGACGCTCTTTACTTTCAAGTCGCTAATTTACTGTACGTAACAATTAGCGACTTGTTCCGCTTTATTTAAATGAGTGCGTAAACCAACGGAACATAATGAGATGGGATAAACTGGTGGACAGTGCAGGGACCCGCCTGTACAGTGACACAACCAGGAGGAGAGATGAGTCATATAAGATAAAGAAGTAGAGTCATCAGGACCTGATAACACAGTTAAGAGGAGCACAAAAAGGAGCTTACGTTCACTGCTGTAGAGTGAAGTGTCGTAGTCCTCCGCGGTGGTTCTGTCTGTCGGGATGTCGTTATCCTGGTGCAGCATTCAGCATCAAACACGCTGTCTGTTCCGGTCTGACGCAGCTACAGCAGCGCTGCATGCCGGAGCAGAGCACAGGAGAGCGGGGAGGGCGGAGCGGACAGGAGGGGTTGGGTGGAGGAGGAGGAGAGAGGAGGAGGTGGGAGAGGAGGAGGAGAGAAGGGAGAGGTGGAGTGAGAGGAGGAAGATAATGAGGAGGTAGAGGAGAAGGAGGGGTTGGGTGGAGGAGGAGAAGGAGGTGGAGGAGGAGGATGTTACGTTCTGTGTAGATGTTACCTTCCCTTCCCGTGTAGATGTTACCTTCATGTGTAGATGTTACCTTCCCTTCTCGAGTAGATGTTTCCTTCCCGTGTAGATGTTACCTTCCTGTGTAGATGTTCCCTTCTTTGCAGATGTTTCCTTCCTGTGTAGACCTTTCCTTCCTGTGTAGACCTTTCCTTCCTGTGTAGATGTTACCTTCATGTGTAGATGTTTCCTTCCCGTGTAGATGTTACCTTCCCGTGTAGATGTTACCTTCGTGTGTAGATGTTACCTTCCCGTGTAGATGTTACCTTCATGTGTAGATGTTACCTTCCCGTGTAGATGTTACCTTCATGTGTAGATGTTACCTTCCCGTGTAGATGTTACCTTCATGTGTAGATGTTACCTTCATGTGTAGATGTTACCTTCCCGTGTAGATG